TTGGAGGGAGCATTGTTCTAAAATGCTTTCCAAAATGGCAGCAGCAACTAATGCATCCACTGAGTACAGTCATATACCTGTTTTCCAACAGCACTTTGCCCATTTGTCACTTACCTCTTTTGTCATCTCTAGCAGTCTGATCAGAAGGAAGAAAAAAACAACAAGGAATAAATTGAATTTATATTTCTCTAATTATCATTGATTTACAGCATTTCTTCTTGTGATAGTTGATAGCTTGGGTCTACTCATTTGAAAACTGCCTGTGTGTATCTTTTGATCACTTATCTGTTGGGGGACATGGCTCTTGGTCTCATACGTTTGAATCAATTCCTTATATATCTTGGAAATGAGTGAGAGACCTTTTTCAAAGAAACAGCAAAAAAAAAAAATCCAGTTGCCTCATAGCCTTCTAACTTTAGATTTGTTTCTGCATAAATCACAGGCTCAATCCCTGTTCCTATCTCACTCACCTTGCTTTTACTCATCCTATATTCCAGTCAAACTGGATATATAAGTGTTATGTATTTCTGCCTCCATGTCTTCTTTTATGCTCTTCGATGTCTAATGCCTTTACTGTGGATTCCAATTCCTGCCCATCCTTCAAGTCCTTGTTCAGATGAAGAAATCCCTAATCTTCCTACGCAGAAATAAGCTCTGCATTTCCTAAACTTACACAGCACATTAACTTTTCCCCTCGTGGCTCTTCTTCACATTGTTGCTTATGTTAATGGTTATTTGTGTATGTCCTATCTTTCCTATGAGATTATAAGCTCCACAACGACAGGAAGAGTCCTCCCTTGTGTCTCATGTAGCATCTCGCATTTGGTAGGTACTAGAAAAATACTTGTTGAATGAAGTAAGGAATGGAAAAAAGATTAGCATGTGTGTGCAAGGCATGTTGTGAGTGTAGTGTGGTGTCATCATAAGCAAATCAAAGATTTAACTTCTCTAACGTAGCTATTTAAGTTGGACCTGACATAGACATCATTCCCAGCTTCCTGAGTGGGCTGATTGGCTGTTACCCTCCATTGTGCTGCATGCCAGATGGCAGGAAAGCCATTAGCTATTAGCACAGCAAAGGAACAGACTACTGCTAAACTGGAGGGGCGAAAATGTAGCCACCATAGCTGATAACCCTGAGAAATGCACCAGCCTTCTGTCATGCTAGCAAAGCTTGCAAGCAGTACATAAAATCAGGGATAGGCATGGCTTCCATTGCTGCGGCTTAGAAACCTGTAAAATACTTGGAAGTGATGGGAGGAGGTGACAAGTAGGAGTAGAGCAGCTGTAGTGTGCAGACAAGTGGGCGTCCTGGGTCACTGGGAATATTTTCTTTTGCATATGTGGGTGTATTTGACCCATCTTGTAAATGTAACCCTGAGATTTATGTGCCTGTATCTAAAGCCAGGGTGCCTCAAGTTTAGGACATTAGAGGAATTTGCTTGGGCTGAATCTGTGTCACAATCTTATTAGTAATCATAGCTATCATTAATATTTTACTTTAAGCTTTGCAGAGCATGTTACATATTATTTCATTTGATCCCCATAGGTAGGTACTATTATTATCCCCTTTTTACAGATGAGGAAACTGAGTCTGAAAGAGGTTAAATGACTTGCCTAAGGTCAACACAGTAAGTGTCTGCAGCATGATTTAATCCTATTTCTTCCTGGTTCCCAAGTCCAGTGATTATCACTATGCCATATAGCTTATTGGAAGCTTCATTTCCTGACATTATAGGATGTACTAATATTTGTGAGGCAGTTGAGTTCAAATCTGGCCTCAGACATGTGCTAGTTGTATGACCCTGGGCAAGTCCTTCAGTGTCTGTTAGGCTTAGTTTGCTCATCTGTAAAATGGGGATAATAATGGCGCCTCCCTCCCAGAGTGGTTGTGGATCAAATGAGATAATATTTGTGAAGTGCTTAGCAGTGTCTGACACATAGTAAGTACTATATAAATGTTAATATTCACATTCATTTCCCAACAGTAGTGCCTCCCCAAAACACCAAGTTTGTCAGCTTCCTGTTTACCCAGGGTTGCCTGGGGGGCTTGGACAGAAAGGCTTTATTCCTACCCAGAGAGCTGCTAGAGCCTGGGGTATGGAGGCCATGTTCCTCCCTGAAGCAGGGCCTCTGGAAAAATGTACATTGTTTAAAGCAAACAAAAAAGAAACTATCCTGGGCTGGACCTGAGAAATGCCTTACCAGAGAACCCTCCTGACCTGGGTAGGCTTTCTGCCTCTCTAGCTGAGTAATTTTCAGCTCTCCTGATACTAAATAAAAAGGTTTCTCTTAAAATTTAGAAACTTTGTGGTGACACCTTCTGGTCGCCTCCAGGTTGACGTCCGTCTCTCATTTCCTAAATTCATGAATCCTAACACTTTGACTTCATCAGTTATGAGCTTAAATTCTTTTTCATCATTTGCTTTTTTAAAGACCTGTCTTGGCTCAAAATATTTCACAAGATAAGTCTGGTTAAAACCTATTAAAGTTAGAAATAAATGATCAAAGTAAAAGAGATGACAAACACAGAGATGTGTGAGTAAATTGGGGCAAAGTACAGTAAAATAATTAAATCCAATAGTTAAACATTAAACGATAGCTTTCTGCATCTTTTAAAAAAACCTTTAATGTGCAGTAGGTCTTCTGTTTGTCTAGGCCACTTAGTTTATGCAATTTGATATTGAGTTCATAAGATTTTGACACTTATTCTTTCACTCTTCATCATAAAACCCCAGTCTTATCACATTGGATATTCAGCATAGCTCTGATGAGCAGGGTGTAGATCAGGGGGGTTCTTGGACCACTGAAGCATGTTATCTCTTTCTCTAGGCTTAGCCTGTTTAGTGACATGTGGCATGATTCAAGGTTATGAAGTAATATTTCATGTACATTTGGGAATTTCTGTAATTCTGGAATAATTCTCCTTCTTATTTATATAGGGGTGTGTGTGTATGCTTGCATGCATGCATGCATGCATGTATGTATGTATGTATAGTAGTTCCTCCCTTCTCATTAGGTTATTTAGTGAGAGGATTAGAATTTACACACACACACACACACACACACACACACACACACACATACATACACACGTATGCATACCTATATAAATCTATATACACATAGTAATAAGATCAAATAATTTACATGGAATGAGAAAGAGAGAGATTGAGGTCTTGACTGTGAGCCCTCCATGCTTCCTTCTGGAGGGCCGAGAGCCTCTGCAGTGTCAGGGTTCACTTTTGTGGAAGGATCTTAGTTGTCTCTCACTCCCTGATGTAGGATACCTTCCTCAGATCTAGCAGTGTTTGAAGTCACCTCCCTCTACCTTCCTGTCCCCTCCTGCTCCTCACTGCAGCTTCCAACACCTCCACTTCCTCCAGTTCTGGACAGATGTGAAGAATCATTTCTCACATATGTCTCAAATGGCGCTTGTATTAGCAGCAGGTCTCAAGATTTCATGGAGAACAGAAGGTAGAACGTAGGACAAAGACCTGGGACAAGGTCTGAATCAGGAAAGGGACTGTCAAGAGATGGAAAACAAACAAACAAACAAACAAACTTAGAAGCGTCCAAGTTTCATCAAGTAACAGTCACAGACCAAAACAATGACTAGTGTTAGAACCAGAGGCCCTGTCTTAACAGAACAAGATTCAAAAATTCCAGATGGCGGCATTGTCAGACTCTGGTCCAAGGCTCACAAGTCTCATAGAATATTAGAGCTGACAGGAGCCCTGGCCCTAGCTTCTCCTTTTATAGATAAGGATCTGAGGCCAACAGGGACAAGTGACTGACTTGACCAAAGACACACAACTGGTTACTAGCAGGGACAAGACTAGAGCCTAGATCTCCTGTCTCACAGTGCAGTGTTCTCTCCATTGCACAGTGTGACACTCATCCAGTTTTAGAGTTGGAAGGGATCTGAGAGGTCATCTAATTTGGCCCCCTTCATTTTGCAGATGCATAAATTGAGAATTTGAAGAGTCAAATGACTTGTCCATAGTCACATGGGTGGAAAGTAATATTGGAAATCGGATACCACGCTAGGTCTCCTGCATCCAGGGCCAGCACTCTTACCCCCACTAGAGGAGAACATCATCAGCATCACTAACTTTTTTTTGGTGAGGCGGTCAGGGTTGAGTGACTTGCCCAGGGTCACACAGCTAGTAAGTATCAAGTGTCTGAGGCCAGATTTGAACGCAGGTCCTCCTGACTCCAAGGCCGGAGCTCTATCCACTGAGCCACTTAGCTGCCCCTACCATTACTGAATTTTATATAATGCTTTAAGGTTTGGAACATACTTTACATATGTTAATTCCTTTGAAACATTGTAGGAAAGGAACATTGCAGCCCATTGAGCAGCTCACCAAGCTGAGAAAGGCATGGAAGGTTCAGCCTGTCCAAGGACTGGCCATCACTAGAGTTCTGTAATACTTCAGGAAATTCATTAGTCCACACCCTCCCAGCTCCTCCCCCTGTGCTGAATGGAAGCCTGTGGATTTTTGAGTGCTTTTATGAAAAGGTGCTTCTAGATCCTTCTCATCTTTTCCCCTCCCCCCTCTTTTCCAGTTCATTGCCTTAGTAGTGACACACTGTTAGAAAAGGATCAGAGGGTATGTGAATTCACCAAGAGATGCCTCTCAACACCTTTTAGCTATTGTGCCCAAATTAATGGGCTCTTCCTGTTGGGTCCTGCTGTCAGAAGTCCACTGACTGTGTACTGAGTCAGAGCCGGGAAGTGAATCATTCTGGAACACTCTTGGCAATCATCCCATTGAATCGGGCTCCCTCCTTCTGGACACCGACAGGATCAAGTAGTCTCTGATTTAATACCAAGTCCAGTGGCTAAACTGCAGCTGTGCCCTACCAAATTAAGCTACATGTTTCCCCTTAAATTATACAATTTCCCAGGCTTGTTTCTCAAACCACTGAGTGGCTGCGCCCCTTCGTTGGAGCCCCATACCTAAGTGTGCCCTATTTCTGACTTTGTTTTTCAGGAATGAGCTGGAGCGACAATTTCTTGAACTGCTGCAGTTTAACATCAATGTTCCTTCCAGTGTTTACGCCAAGTATTATTTTGATCTTCGTTCCCTGGCAGAAGCAAATAATCTCAGCTTTCCCTTGGAGCCTCTCAGCAAAGAAAGGGCTCACAAGCTTGAGGTGAGATGCTTAAGAACAAAACAGAACACCACAATGCATCATTAGGGATACGTCCAGTGCACTCATTATTAGCACTGAATATGGATGAGGAGGAAGAAGCTTTTTCAAAGTATGGTTTGTTGTCAGATAAAACCAAAAGTAGTTACTGGTATGGTATGTTCTTTACAGTGTTCATGGCTGCTTGGCCAAAACATGAGGTTAGGAGCTTTGGGATCCATGCATGTTTAAATAGATATCTGACCCAGATTCTGATCATTTTCTCAATATCATCCTTTATTTAATGTGAATATTTTATCTGTCTGTCTATATGTCTGTCTGTCTGTCTCTCTCTCTCTCTGGGAACTTTGACCAGCTCCATTCCTGGTTTAGGCTGGTTTATCTCTCATTAGGCAACTTTGTGACTTCCAATCCTAGGGGCTTATCATATTGATGCCAAACTTAGCGGTGCTTGATTGGTCTCAGCTGTACTACATCTCAGAACTCCCCAGCTCAAGAGATCCGCCAGCCTTAGCTACCTACCTTTTAGCTGGGGTCATATGTATCCTCCACCATGCCCATCTAGTGTGACTATTTCATTTGGAAATCACAGAATTGTAGAATTTTAGAGCTGAAAGTGAAGTCACTGGGTATCTAATCTAACCTGTATCTGAAAAAGAATGCCCATTGTGGCATAATTAAAAAGTGAAGTGGTCGTTCAAGCCATTCCACTTTTCAGCAGTTCTAATTGTTAGGAAGTATTTTTTTTCATCCCAAATTTGCCTCTCTGTAATTTAAAATAATTCTTACAGGTTCTTCCCTCAGGAGCCATTTAAAGCAAGCCTTAATTTCTTCTATACATAAAAAACCTTCAGATTCTTGGAGACAGCTTTTATTTCCCCAAGTTTACTCTTCTCCGGCTGAGTATCTCTAGTTTCTTCCATCAGTAGCCTTTAAAAAAATTAAGTGTGTAACCCTTGGCCTCATAGTCAATTAAAACACCCAGAAAGCCACCTAAGAAGATTTTCTAGCAAAGAGAACCATCACTGTCTCTTCCTAACGTGTCTAGAAAAGTTAAATTACATAGAGAGAACACTCGGTTCCGGAGCTGTAGCTTGGACTTTCCTATTTCCTTGACACCATACTACTGAGAGACAAAGGCCAGTTCTCTTTCTCTTGGACTCAGTTTGGGGCCTGGGTTGGTCAACCCCATTCCTAAAGTGACTCATGACCCCAGATCTGGAGATGACTCATCTTTATGATGAGAACATGGACTTCTCGCTGTTCCCCTAAACTGGCCAATATGTGTGCCGCTTTGGAAAAGTTAAGGGAGAAGAACAGAGAAAGGAGAGGAGGGAAGGGGAGAAAGGGGAAGTGAGGGGAGAGGGTCTTACTGCAATTTGGATATGCTGAGAGTCAGGTACCACAATCAAGCAGCCCTAATGAACTATTGACCTTTTCCCTCCCTCCTCCCTGGCTTTGTCACCTCAACTAACTGTAGGTCAGGCTGGTCTAGAGCTTTAGGCATGGCCAAAGACATCAAGACCCAACACTATTTCACTCAACTAATGTACAGTTCCCATGAAAATGTTACTCAGTAATAGATAGGAGCAAAGGGGATCTGCAGAGAGTTCAGAACTGCAAATCAGACAAAATGTGAGAATACTTCAGTATTTTTAGAAATTAAATACGGGAATGATGAATTGATTAAATATATTTCAATAGGAAATTTATGAAGCAGGCAGCTAGGTGGTACAGTGGAGAGAATGCTGGACCTGGAATCGGGAAAGCTTAAGTTTGAGTCCTGCCTCAGATACTTAACTAGCTGTGTGACCCTGAGCAAGTCACATAACTGCCATCTGTCTCGGTTTCCTCAACTGCAAAATGGTAACAATAATAACACCTACTTCCCAGGGTTCTTGTGAGGATCAAATGAAATATTTGTAAAAAGTACTTAGTAGAGTGCCTGGCACGTAACGGGTGCTTAATATATGCTTATTCCTTTATTAAGCTCCTACCATGTGGTAGAGATACAAACACAAAAATTTCTGGTCTCAAAGAATTTACATTTTACTGAGAGAAGTCCCAGAGAGCTACAAGTACTTCAGAGGATACCTAAGCTAATCCTCTTATTTTTAGAGATGAGGAAACTGAAGCCCAGAAAGAAGGCAAGTGAGTTACTTACTTAGTGGCAGAGGCAAGATCATAACCCAGGGCTCCTGACCCCATGCTCAGTGTTCCTTCCTCTGCACTGTGGTGTGTTAGGAAAGTAAAAATGAAAAATAAAATCAAAGCGTTAATTATTGAATTAGCAATTTAGTGAAATTGAGGAAGGGAAGGGAAAGGAAGGAAGGAAAAACAGGAGGGAGGGAGGGAGGAGAGGGAAGAAAAGAGAAGGAAAGAAGAGATGGAGAGAAAGAAGAAAGAATGGGGCAGCTAGGTGGTGCAGTGGATTGAGCACTGGAGTCAGGAGGATCTGAGTTCAAATCCAGTCTCAGACCAGACACTTGACAGTTACTAGCTGTGTGATCCTGGGCGAGTCACTTAACCACAGTTGCCTCACAAAAGAAAAAGAAAGAAAGAAAGAAAGAAGAAAGAGAAGGAAGGGAAGGGGAAGGGAAGAAGGTGAAAGGAAAAGGAAAAAAGGAAGGGAAGGAAGAAGAAAAGAAAAAGAGAGGAACAAAAGGATAAAGGAGAGAAGCAAAGAAGGAAGGATGGAAGGAAGAGAGGAAATGAAGGAAGGGAGAGGAAGAAAGGGAAGGAAGGAAGAAAGAAAGGACTGCAGGCCAGTGCTCTATCCAGTGCCACCTTACTGCTCTATCTTATGACAAAGAAATAGTAGGCTCTTAAGTACAGAATAAGGCTTACATTCTCTGTCAAAGCTAGTATATTGACTTATTTTTCATAACTGTTCATATATTTCATTCATTCTTCAAGCAACTATCCAGTTCTCTTCAAGGCATTCTGTTTTATGCATTCCCTTAATTGGACCAACACTATCGAAGAGGTTTGCTTCTTCCTTATGAAATCTTTCTCCTGGAATTCCTGAATTTCTGCCTAAAGGTGTTACAGAAATATATTGTCGTTATTATTATTTTTATTATTGAAGGTTCTTAGTAAATATTTGTCAAATAGAGTCACTTGATTTGAACCCAGTTGGTTCATGTCTGACCTTCTCCCTCTCTCCTGGCTTGCAGGCCATCTCTCGTCTGTGTGAAGACAAGTATAAGGACTTAAGAAGATCTACGAGGAAGCGGTCAGCTAGTGCTGACAATCTGGCTGCATTGAAGTGGTCTCCAGCCATCATCTCCTAACAGTGGCATGTAGGATATTCTTACAAAAATACTGTTTTCACCCCTCTGGTTTCTCATTTGGTTTGGGAAAACACAAAGACTCTGGGGGTTTTTGGTTACGTTTTTGTTTGGTTTTGTTTTTAATCCTTAGCTCCGACAAGCTGCCTTTACACTGCCTCCTCACCCTGTGGCACACACGCAGCAACTTTTCAGTGGAAAGATAAATCAGTATTTGGGAAATCCTGTCTCATGCCTCCCCCCCCCCACAATGTCACTAACCTTTGGCGAGGGAATGGGGGACTCTGCAGGAAGAAACGGAGGAAAAGGAAAGTAGTGTAGAGGCAAGAAAGAAAGATATAAATGACTTTGTCATTTTTTTTTGAGATACCGTGCTCATCAATAGATAAATACAAAATGAAAACAAAACAGGAGATAAACAAGTTTGGATGTACACTAAGGAAAATGAGTGGCATTGTTTTTTACCTTAACCTGAAATTCAGCTCAGTACATTCTGTTGGATTTTTTGCATTCCTTCTAGCTGCTTTTCAGCGTTTGAGGCATGGTTTTTTTTTGTTCTTCTTTTTTGGTCCTGCAGAGCAGAGAATATAGCTTGTATCTACCGTAGCACAAACATCCAAATAAATGGTATTGGTTGTTCCTTACTGCACTATTCTCTGTGAGCTGTCTTCTTAGCTATCACCCTTCAGAAGTATTGTACATTTCTTATGTTTCTAGATGCCTGAACTGTCCCTTTCATTTTTGTCCCCAATAACAAAAAAGTTACCTTGACTGTAGTGCTGAACCAAAAGTATACAAAGTAATCCAACATTCCTGTGCTAATTCTTCTTAAGTTTTTTCCCCACCAAAAAATGGAAATTCACACAAAGTGCTTGTGCCTTCCTGTGTTCTTGGAGCGGTTTTGTTTTCTCTGACCTAAAGATGCAGATGTCGAAATACTCAGACTTTATGGGCCAAGAGGAAGCAATGGGCTGCAGAAATCTCTACTGGGTTGCAATTCCAATTCCCCTATCCTCGCCTCCCCCTAACCACTTAGATCCTTGCTTGAATTCACATCACAAAAGTGGTTTTTTTGTACATCCCACCTAGTTCATTCATCCATCTCCATTGTTACAAGCAATATCCTCCTCAATTTTTATATGTTTACTTTAAATCAAACTTAAGTCTGTTTGTATAAAAAATTTTTTTAAAAACTTAAAAAAATGGGTGGGTGGGAGGAGGGTTTCCCTGGGAAGATAATTGAAGAGATGAATGTTAATTAACCTTTATTGAGGTATTTTTCACAGGTTGAATTAACAAAAAAACCAAACCCACCACCACCACCACCATGAACTCAACTTGTATTTTTCATTGTGGGTGCTCAGAGAAATTTAAACAAAATTAAAACTGTGAAGAAGGTTAATGTTTCATGAATTATGATTGTACCTTTTTCATTTCCTAATTATTCCTGGTTTTCCTTATGAGATAAAGCAGAAAATTTTATAGTAATGTGAAGATTGAGAGGCAGCATGGTACAGTGGATAGAGGGCCAGCCTAGAGTCAGGAAGACCTGGATTCAAATGCTGACTCTGACACATACTGACTGTGAAATCATGGGCAACTTTCTTATCCTTCTGTGCCTCAGGCAATTCTTTAATATTCAAAGTTATGGATGAATTACTGATCTTCATCCATGGAGGGAATTTCCACATCCTGGAGTTCCCTATACCAATGAAATCACAAGTCTGGACCTATATACATAAGTAGCATTAAAATGTATTCAGGGTGGGTGGGGGGCATGGTAATTTTCAACTCAAGTCCATGAATCTGATTCTGTGAAGGTTTTTTTTTTCTTTTTATACTTTTCTTTTGGATCTGATGACAGAGAAGAGGTCTTCTAGTCTCCCCCCATTCCCCCTCTTTTTTTTTTTTTAATCAGTGATGTGAATGACAGATTTCCTGAGTTTTTTTACATGCTTTTTTGGACTAGCTGAAAATGGAAAGATCTTCCATTAGTTTTCTTCCCTACCTTAGTGCCAGAAGGTCGTAGACCTGACCCATGAATATATTTATTCACACCTCTCAGTGAAACATGCCTTTGAAACAAATGGCCTTCTAAGGGCCAAGGTACCAATTCCAGACTGAATATTCTCTATTTGCAGGCTCATGTGATTAATCCCCTCTGTGACCTGATTGTTGGCCCAGAATGATCCACCCGGTTCTTTCTAATCTATCATTTAAAAAAAAAAAAGGAAAAAAGGAAAAAGAAAAGAAAAACCCAAACCTCAAAATGAAATTCCTTCCTCTCCTGATTGTGCCCATTGATTTGAGATAACTTCTCTGTTCACATGCAGGTTCTATTTGGAACAGAAAACTGAACAGAGGAAGAGCTCTGAAAATATAATAGAAAGTACAAAATGTATTCCAAAAATCTGTCTAGCTGAAAAAAAATAAAGGGACATATTTTCTTAGCTTTCTTACCTCTGAAGAAAAATGAGTTCCTACCATAATGTAGATGGTCATCATCTTTTACCAAACCATTTCAGAAAAGAAGTTCTGTTATCTTTCTAACAGAAATTGTAGTTTTATCCCTTTTATTTGAATGAGAGACATATAAACTTTGAATTATGTAAATATCTCAATGCATCTGCTATAATTTTGTGGAGTTTATTAAAACTACTTTAAAGATTGTATAGTCTATTTATTGTATGTATGTACATACAGTCTGATACTTAAAATTTAAAGTGGATTCCATAAAATTTGGCTCAGTCTTGTTTAGACTATTGAATATTGTTTTAGCCTTGTGCACTGGACTCTACCTCTGTATAGGAGAATTTTCCATCCTCTTTCATTAGTACTGATTCTGTGATTAACTTGGTTATGTTTCTTGCACTAAGGTTTTATTTGAAATCTGCTGTAAGTGTAGATTTTCTGTTTTCAGTTTTGCCGTAGAAATCATTTGACATGTAGGTGAATAGTTATTTTGGGGTTTATTATTTTTTTCTACATGATAATGAAAACTTGCTTTTTTTTGTTTCAATTTGTTCTGTTTGCCAAAAAAAAGTACAGTACCTATTGATAAATAGTAGTGACTGTAATCTGTTTGCAAGGTGATTTAATACCATACAATTAAAACAAATTACTATTTAGGAACATATTGTCTTAGTGTAGTTTTTGGGAGCTCCTCTGGCTGCAGAGTTTCATCATTGATGAATGAAGGTAAATTCTCTTACAGGGTGAACATGAGAACAGAGTTCATTGACTGAAATTATGACCTTGACTCAAGCAGCAAATATGTGTATTGATGCTTTTAAAAAATGAAAATCATCTGTGGGATCAAGGCTTTTTATCGGGTAGGGGGATAGAGGGAAGGGAAGAAGGGAATCGGGTATTGAAACTTACTTCACATTAATCCCTTTCTGGGTTTCATTCCCACCAACTTCATTGACTGTTTGCCAAAGTAGCAATCCCATTCCCTGGTTCCTTTGCACAAACCAAGAATTTCTATCTGCACGTTCAAGAATCCTTAGTTCTTTAAAGACCCAACTAAGAAGTCACCTCCTTCAGAAAGCCTTTCCTGATTTCCCTAGATGTCACTGTCCTCTCCCTTGTTATTACTGGGCTTTTGACAGGAGTAGACAATATATAAACAGGTAGTCAAATTATCTGTCCCAGTAGAATGTAATGTAAGTGACTATTTTTTGGTTTTGTCTTCACATCCCTGGGGTACCTAGCAACGTCACTTTACACATAGTAGGTGCTTAATAAATTGGGGATGAGGAGATCAAATTCCCATCTTACAGATGAGGAAACTGAAGTTCAGAGACTTAAATGATTTGCCTAAGGTCTTACAGCTGGTAAGTAGCATGACCAAGACTTGAATCCTGGTCCTCTGATTCCAGAACTTATGTTCTTTTTACCCCCATCTTGTTGTACCAAAGTCTCCTTTATTTTCATGCCCAAATTTCTTTAAGTAGATAGCCAAGTGATTTTGTTCTGTCCATCTCACATGATGGGAGTTTCCTTTTGTCTTTTCTTAATTTTGAACCAACCCTCCCTACCCTGGAAATGTATCTTGATATTAAGGGTACTTCACACTGGTCTGGATGGCATCAGGCCTGAAAAAGCAAATGTCAGGAGGGGTCATCCTGAAGAATAGCTTTGTCCTCATCTGTGTGAGTAAACCCTGGCTTGTCACAATGTTGCATTTTAAAACCAACTCTTTCCGGTAAATTTTACAATTGTAAATTTAAGGCCACCACGTAGTACTTTATTGAGGGCATCCTTGAAAGATATTGATATTGAATGAGTGAATGAATCAATGAATGAATGAGTCAGTGAGTGAGTGAATGAGCAACATTTTTAAAACACTTACATGAAAAGCACCATGCTAAGTGCTGAGGATACAAATGGACACTCAACTCTCAAGGAGGTTACATTCTTATAGTAAGAGACAACACATAAGTTCCAGGGCACAACAGCAAAGCAAATGGCAATGCATCTTCTTTAAGCTCGATTCCATGGAATATTTATTTCTGATATTGAACCGTTTGACAGTGCCAAGGCCCTTGACATCCAGAGCTTTGTTTTCTGGGTCTTCAGGGGCCATGGCTGTTGAGAAAGATGGGCGATAGTTACAGAGGCTTGGCAATGGTGGATTTGGTGGTTTGGGGGCTCTACTCTTTCTGGAGCTCCTGGGCCTTCCTCTCCAGTGGCGATTAGCTGGTGGTTGACGTTGATGTGGCTAATTCTTAACAGAAGCTCCCTAAGTCTAGTTGGCCACAAGTTCTGTTAGGTTTATGTGAGTCCCAGATGTTAGATGTTGTTTGGAAGTCTGAAGTAGAGAGTGGATACTTCATGGGAACTCATGAGAGTAACTTTTAGGCTGATACCCTTTGTTATCACATCAGCAGTCCTCCCATTGCTCAAGGCTTAAATTGAGGTTCTCATCTTCTAAAAACAATAACCATAGAGCCCTGTTTTTAAAACAGGCAAGGGAAGTGATATTGCATATAGTAGATGCCTAATGTTTATTGGATTATATGAGTACTACCATTATGGCTACATACAGACAACTAGAATTTTAATGATATGCCCACCTCTTTCTTAAGATTACTTTTATCATTTCTATAACCATACTAAGTCCTCTTGTCAGTTCTATAATGTAGGTATCAGCAAGGTTAATATTATCCCCATTTTATAAACCAGGAAACTGAGGCCAGTGGTAGGACACCTTTAGGGCTTGACCCTGTATCTACTCACTCCTTTTGTTGTTCAATCACTTTGTCATGTCCAATTCTTCGTGACCCCATTTGGGGTTTTCTTGGCTAAGATATTAGAGTGGGTTTGCCATTTCCTTCTCCGACTCATTTTACAGATGAGGAAACTGAGGCAAACAGATTTAAGTGACTCACCCAGGGTCACACACCTAGTAAGTGTCTGAGGCTAGATTCAAAATCAGGATGATAACTCATCCTGACTC